CACTCACTCACTCACTCACTCATTCATTTACTCACTCACTCACTCACTCACTCACTCACTCACTCACAGGGATGATGCTACTTAGCTGAGTAATAAGATGTCTGCACACAAATAATCAAATTGCCAGACTTCCACAGCATAGTAATGATGCCTTTGATGTGTGATGACTGGCCCAAAAAGGCAGCATAGCCTCTGGGCAGGAACTGCAATGCCACACCGATTGTTGTCCACCTTTGTTGTTCTGTTGTTATGTACATTTCCAGGTGGCTGTTATACAGCTGGACATCAAAGATGGAAGAATAATTGCTTAGAAGGAGGATTGGAAAGATTTAGATCTTGGCATGAAAGCCATCTAAAGAAAACTCTGATAAGGATCAGAGTAAGCAACAGAGTCAAGAGGGAAGAAAGGCATTTCAATGGAAGCTTACGTAGAACTGTGTTTTTCTTTCAACTTATGTTTTTTAAGAAGACGCTCGGCAGTTATCTAACAGAACTGACCCAACCAATGGTGATTATTTTCTGAACCTACATACGAAGCCTTAATCATAAAGCCCCTTGGAAGGACACGCAGCATGTGAAACCACAAATAGTTTCTAGGGCTCTTGCTTCTTCTGAACGAGACAGGTATGAATAGGTTAGTCATAAGCACTAGTCCTCTTCATTAGTCCTCTTTTCATTTTTCCTACAAATACATGAAAAAAGCAAACCCAAACCCAAAATCATTTTATGAAATGATGCTATTGGAAGGTCAGGAGTGAATTGCTCCTTTTATAATATGGAGCTGCAGTGATTCGTTTTCTTGCTTTCATGATTGCCGACTTCAAGCAAAGTGGGGGAAAAAGAATGTGGAAAAAAAAACCCGTAGCCGTCGGGCAGATTTATTTACCATGAATGATTCACACATAGTATGCATGGCTGCGGGCATCACCTCTCCCAGAACCTGGCAACGTTACAGGGAGCAATTTCAACTCCCACCCCCAAGCATAAGCTTAGCTTGAAGAGTTTCTGCATTATAGCAAGCCGTACAAATGTGCTTTTCTTTCAACATTTAGCATGAATTATATATTGACCAAACACCTTTCATGTGGCCTAGGCAAGGAAAATCCAACTTGACATTTATTTTCTGGCTTTCCATGTCCCTTTCAAGGACAAAACCCAAGTTGTACTACAAACAAAAGTCATCCAAGCCCTATAATTCTACGCTGTCACTAAAAGTGTGAATCCGAAGTTGTGTTTTAAACTTTGTCAACATTATATGCTCCCTAGGTGGTCTAAGATAAGGTCTCCTCTTTCAGTTTCAGCCATTCCTTACCCTATAGAAGACAGAGTAAGCAGTGTCTTTACTTGAGTGCATATTTTTATCCCATGTTTCACCTAAGGAATTTAGGGCTGTACATATCATTTCAGCTTCCTGATCCCTTTTATCCCCACAACAATTTTGTGAGATAAGTTAAGGTTGACAGCAATTAATCCCAAGTTATAAATTGCATGGATGACTGGAGATTTGAAATGTGAACTCTCTGTCCAATACTTTATCCATATAGACTTCACTTGGTGAGCTCACACATTGCCTTAAATCAAAGCTTATGGAACTAAGTCAGTTTGAGTGGGTTCACATATCTTGCTACATCACAAATCAAGGGTAAACATCTTCTGAACAAAGGACCATCTTGCTTCCAATGGGGTTCAGACTACTTTAAATCCACCTCTTTTGTTTTATAATAATTTGTGAAAGTTTTGTTGTTGATGATGATAATGATTATGAGATTTTATTGATTGTGAGGAAGAGAGAGGGAGGGAGAAAGGGCATACAGTAAGTTTTAGCTTTTTCCCTTCATCAGTGGAGGGTACGTTATCAAACAGAGGCCAGGTGGTCATCTACCAGGGATGCCTATGGAGATTCTCAGTCATCCAATCCAGATCATGGTTGTCCCAAAGATACTTTTTCAAGAGGCAGCTGGACTTTCTTTATTTTTCTTTGAAAAACCTTTTTGCTTCTCATCCAAAAAGCGTCTTTAGTTCAGTCAGAACTGAAGAAGCTTCTTGGGTGAGAAATGAAAAGTCTTCAAAGAAAAACAAAGAAAGCCCATTGCCTCTTGAAAAAGCACCTTTCAGACTAGAATAACAGCATTGGAAGGGAACTTGGAGGTCTTCTAGTCCAACCTCCTGCTTAGGCAGGAAACCCTACACCACTTCACTACACCTGTGGCTCATCTGTGATGGTGTAGTTATTTCTAGAATGTATAGAGAGTTGGACTTGACAACCTGTCAGGTTTCTTCCCAATATGATTATTCAACAACAGTGGTACCAAAACTCCTTTTCAGCATTACAGCTCCTTTACACCAACTGAATTAAAAAAAAAAGTTGACCCATTTCTTAAAAAAATGGAACAACAGATGGGAGAGGGAAATCACTACACTAGAGACTAATGGCCCTACCTACATTGCAGGATTTTTTCCTTGTTTTGGAAAGGGGCAGCTTTGGTAGGTTTGAAGGAATGAAATGAGAATGAGGTATCTATATCAAATTGATACCAAATAGATAGGAAGGAAGGAAGGAAGGAAGGAAGGAAGGAAGGAAGGAAGGAAGGAAGGAAGGAAGGAAAAGCAGCCTAATATTTTAAAGGATGGAGGGATTCATTTTTTTAAAAAAGTATTTACGGTTTATTGGTTTTTAATTAACAGCAAAAAGAGGTGGGGGGACTCAAGGATGATGATGGAGACACCAAAAAGGGAAGAATGGAGGGATTCATGACTTCATTGGCTACTTAAACAGAAGGTGTATTTCTTTAAATCCTTCAAATCCCCAAATGGAAGAGGTCTGGAAATATTGCTCTATCAATTCGGGCCAAACTTTTTGTACCCTGGCTGTAAACAATGGACTGCTGACTACAATGTGTGTATTACAGGCTACACTAAGCCTAAATCAAAACACTTCAATATAGAATGCCATGCTTAAATGGAGACTTTCCATGCTATGCTTTGGGTTACCCTCCCAAAATGTACTGATATGTGTGAATTATTGTACTTACTTTAACTCTGAGTCAATATAACCCCCAGCTTCATTTAGATTGTTCTTTCTTTAAAAAAAAAATCCACCCCACTACCCCTTGTTGTGACTTCTATATCACTACCACAATATGATAGAGAATCAAAGACTTCAAAGGGTTTCTGAAACAACAAATTGCAGACAGAGTCAGACCCATCCATGAGGTATCTGGTCTGTTTAAACAAGGGCAGTACACACAACAGAAAATTCAAGGTGATAGCGACACAACTAAGAGAAAGAAAAAAAGTTCCAAAAGTTAATCTCCTATACATGATGTTTCAAAATCAGAATTAGGCTATCTCAACAGTTTTCTTTCTAGCTTCTGCCTGTAAAAATCTGATTTCTTTTTTTAAAAAATCTTGTGTTATAGTGCAAATCCGTATCACTAAAAATTTTCTTTCCGGATGTCTTCCATTGTCTTAGATATCATAATTTGTTGAATGGATGTTGGAAAATGATTTAAGCTATTAGGTTCAAAACAAAAAGGCAAGGCTCAAAAAAAATGTGTACCTATATGAGCTGCAGATTATCCAGATAGTTTTTTCAGCACTCTGCAAAGTGAAACCCTTTAACATAGTTGAGCTTTGTGGGTCAATGGCAACAGGAATTCATTATCAATATCACAAATGAACACTCAAGAAAATGAAGCATGAAACAAAATTGTTGTCCTTCAAAATCTTCCTTACCTTGAATGCACTGAAGAGTTCCATCTTCACCCCTTATGGTAAAAGTTTCACCTGGATTAACTTGAACAAAAATGACCTGCCCCAGGAAAAAAAGAGAAAGAGACTAACATGAAAATCTTCAAAATATTTCAGTTTAGCTGCACAATTCACAGTATGGCAAAGAAAAGGTTTTTCAGAAGAAAAAAAAACGCTAGATAAATGGAATCCCAAAATATGATTATACAACTCGCAATCCTTTAAATTAAGTTTTATTTAAACCTACAATAGAAAAGCAAACATATTCTTTAAAAGGAGCCCAAATATTCATTTGATATCTACAAAAGTCTACTTATAAAAGAGGCTCAAAGGGAAAACTCACTGAAGAATACCATTTTAAAGCAAAATATATTTTAATAAGTCGAAATACAAAACCTGCTATGATCTGCCAAGCCCAAATTGCTCATGACCAAAAACAAATAAAAATGTAAACAATCCCAGCCAAGAAAATGGTGCCGATGAAATCATCATCATCAACAAAAAATGCTGATCCAGCTCTACACAACTGTCACCGTTTAACCAAATAATTTCTGAAACCAAATCAAGATGATTCTCTTGGATTCTGTCCGCTTCATCAAATGATAGTTGGAGCTACCAATTCACCCGAATTGGTTCGAACCAGTAGAATCCCACTCCTGGCCATATCCATGCAGGTCTGGAGTTTGATACTCCTGAATTTGAGTATAAGGCTGCTACTTCTTTGGCCATTTTAAATTATAAGATATCTAGCCTGTTTACTTTTAGTTCAGCTTCATTTTATTGTCAATGTCATTGTTTCATGGTATAGGACAACATTCAGTTGGCTAAGTCATTCTATTTGCATATGCATCAACCCAACTCCAAGGAGCGAAGACACGCAAATGTTTCAAATAAATAAATAAAATTTATTCCAGATGAGCTGACTTAAAAGTAGAAAAGGCATATTTCCCTCTTCAAAGTCACATCCCTACAAACTATTATAGAGAGGCAAGATTCACTGAACATAGTGAGACGGACTGCAGAATGCAGCAGAGCAGCAATCTTATCAGCCCGCAAAATAAATTAATCATCCTGGGGGGGGGGTGCATTCCAACTGAAAGGGTCTTTGTAAGCTATCAACTTATTAGAACGAAAAGAGGAAGGAGACTGGAAAAAAAATACACCATGCCAGGGAAAAGACAAAACATTATGAATTATTTAGGAAAGGCATTAAAAAGAAGACAAGGATAAACACCATTATATCATCCTACAGTTTATCCACATCTGGGGTGCTCATTAGGGGAGTGCAGGCTAAAGCATATGAAGAACAGTTGCTGGAATTGAGTATGTCTAGTTTAATGAAAAGAAGGACTATATAGCAGCATTCCAATATCTAAGGGGCTGCTACAAAAAAGTGTGGGTCAACCTATTGGCCAAAGCACCTGAAGGCAAGACAAGAAGCAATGGATGGAAACTATTCAAGTAGAGAACCAGCCGAGAACTAAGGTGAAATTTTCTGACAGTTAGAACAAATAATCAGTGGAATGGCTTTCCTTAAGAAGTTGTGGGTGCTCCAAAACTGGACATTTTTAAGAACAGATTGGACCATCATTTGTCTGAAAAGGTATGGGGTTTACTGCCCAAGCAGTGGATTGAATTAGAAGACCTCCCAGGTCCCTTCCAACTATGTTATTCTGTTCTGTTATTATATCAGCAAGATGGGAGAGTAAGAAAATATATCTATGAGTTTTCTCTCCTATGAAAAATATTTAATGGTTGGGATTTTCTTGTTTAAGGGGAAACTAATGGAGTAGAAAATAGTTTGGAACTTCCCATTGTCCCTCTCATCCACAAAACCTAGAAGGAGGGGTAAATTGTTCTTTTCTCCACTATTTAATTCTCACAAAGGCCATGTTAGACAATGACTGGCCCAAACTTCAAAAAATGTAGGCGTTTCAGTTTGGATTGTCTTAACCCAACTCTCTTAACTGTAATACTACATAAGAAAGCAAAAACCATCTTGAGATCCACATTGCTTCAACCAATGTGATTGGGTCATACTAGAACCATGGGGAGCTGGGGTGATGCTCAAATACTTTGGTCACTTAATGAGAAAAGAGAACTCATTGGAAAAGAGATGATGTTGGGAAAGATTGAAGGTGGAGTGATATTCAACCAATTCTGAACAGTTCTGGAGAACTGGTAGCGGAAATTTTGAGTAGTTCAGAGAACCGGCAAATAGGCTGGCCCCGCCCCTGCTGACTCCCAGCTGATCTTCTTTTGTTGCCCTGAACAGGGGAACGGAGCTGGAAAAAAGCTCCGTTGGGGTGGGGAGGGAATGAGGATTTTGCAGTAACCTTCCCGTACCATGCCCATAAAGCCGCACCACACCCACAAAGCTATGCCCACAGAACTGGCAGTAAAACTTTTTGAATCCCACCACTGATTGAAGGCAAAGGGAGAAGGAGAAGGCAGAGGATAGTTAGTTGGTGTCATTGATGGGATGAACATGAATTTGGGAACTCTGGGAGACAAGGGAGAACAGGGGAGCACGTGGTCCATGGAGTCACGAAGAGTCAGACACAACTTAGCGAATGAACATCAAATTCTAAGGGGTTCTAAGCATTCAGATATTATAAGTGAATCAATTCATTTTTTATTTTTTTTATTTTAGTTCAGAAGCAATGCAAAATGTAGATACAATACACTAAAAAATAAACAAAATATTCCTTAAATTACAAAACAAAATTATAAAGAAGAAGGATAAGTAAAAGACTAAGGAAAGAGAAAAAAAAATCTACCACTTGTATTAAATTAATCAGTAATCACTGATTATACCACTGACTTTTATGGTAAGGTAAGAACAATATAATAAAATAACGTTACTATTTCAACCAAAGTAGAATGTGTTGCTTCACCCTTTGATTAGTAGACAATATTGCCTTTTTCAAGACAGATAAGTTAAACATCCCCAAAGCTGTTTCTTAACCTCTGGAACAATATCACTTATCCAAGTTCTCAAAATAATTCTTTTGGCCATCCCTCATGCAGGATACAACCAAATTCCTCTTCTTCTGGATACTGTTAGCCATGATAGCCATATACAAACAACCTCTAGTCTTTATTGGTTGAGACAAATAGAGCAGGGGTCACCAACCTTTCAGACCTGAGGAACCACTAAATTAATAATTTTAAATCCTGTGGACCACTAATATGAATAAGTGATGGGATGGGGTCCTTCAGGCACTTAGCTTGACTGCCTGTTAGTGGAGAGAAGTGCCCGGGGTCAACCCTAGCTTTGCTGCCCATTGCAGCTAGGAATCTCAAATACGGCCAAGAATGAATGTTTGTCTTGTAGCCTGGATCAGCCCCCTGTAAACTCTGTTTTTCCAGGAGTCCGGCTGAAGTTTTGCACACTGCTCACTGAAGCACCTGGACTCCCAGGGAGGGAGGGAGGGAGGGAGGGAGGGAAGGGCCTGGATCTACTAAACAGGCATCCAAGCTAAGTGCCTGAAGGACCCCATCCCATTAGCAAGTGGGAGTAATTGCTTCAGCGGGCCGTATCCAGCTCAGGGGCCGTAGTTTGAGGATCCCTAATTTAGTGCAATATAGAAAATGCACAGATTTTTCTGCAGACCACCAACACTTTCTCGCAGACCACCAGTGGTCCATGGGCCACCAGTTGGTGATCACTGAAATAGAGGATGAAAAAAACCTGACCAAGTGACATCTACTAATAATGACCGCAATGACACCTGTGACTGGTGGCAATATTTTAAAGCTGTCTAGCTCTTCACAAGCTCTGTCATTTGAAACCCTTTAACATGAATTGTACACCTGCACAAATTGGTATTCATAAACACGCTATCTCTCATTTTGGAGCTAGCATCTAGTCAATATGAACAGCAGCTACAGATCATTTTACCTTCCATGGGTTTATCTAATGCCTCCTTTTAGCCATTATTGTATCTTGTGATCACTGAACTATGCCTTGAATGGAAAAGGAATTCTCTTTGTCTGTTCTGGATCTGTCATCATGGCAATTTTTGTCTGATTATCCAGATTCTAGCTTGGTGGGGTTTATTTTCTCACTATGCGATTAATGTTAGAAACCTCCATAGTTCTGCTCACCCTCCTTTCTTCTAATTTAAAAAAGGCTTAAGTGCAGCCCTTCCACATATGTTGCTAGTCCCCAGACCAACGCCACTAGAAATATACAGCTAAAATAAAGATTAGCCTTACTCCTACCTCCCTCGTGTCCAATTTTAGACAATAACTTCAGGAAAAGAATTCACCTTCTTTTCTTGTTGGGAAGTAAAGTACAATGAATATTGACAATAAGATGTATAATGAAAAGCTACAGGAAAAGCAAAGGTAATTCATGGAATGTAAGGGATGATTGCTGGCAGATGATATTTAAATGGAAAAGTCTGGGGACTTAACATATACCATGTCCAGCATCATGCTTCAGTTCCTGATAAATAAATTGGCAAGAGTCGGCTGTAGGAACATTTCCACCAACTCTTCAATGCTCCATCCCAGCTCACAATGCCTGAAAAGCATCCTTTAGTTTATTTCAAGATGTCAGCCTGGAATTGGAAGCGAGGGAGTACATATTAAAAACATAACTATCTCTACTATACCCATAGGGGAAAAATTACATCCATCATGTGCACTGCTTCCTGGTTCAGCAATGATGGAAAGACATTTGGGGAAGTAAGGAGCTTTCATAATGGTCGTTTTATTTTCTATCGCACACAAACTATTGTGATATTTTGTTTTAATTTATTAAATTTCTTCACCAACCAGCTCAATCAAGTCACTTTGGTGGTTTACAACAGCATAATAATAAGCACATATATGTAAAATATATAAATATGCATATGTAAAAAACATTTTACATAATAAAAGCATATAAATGAATTAATAAAACATTAAAATGAGAGTCAAGAGCAAACTAAAACTTAGAAGTAAAATAAAAAGCAGAGTTATTATTTATTATTACATATAAACGATTATATATATCAAAAGGGAATTTCAATAGATATGACATCTTCCTCTATAGACTGCTACCAAACAC